GAAAACCAGATCAGGACTATATTGGTTTCCACCCCACCGCGTGTTCACCGTGTTGCTCTTTTCATGTCTGTAGTTTCATTTATAGTCCTCGCCAGTGTTGGGGAGTAACGGATTACATGTAACGACGTTACGTAATTTAATTACAAAAAAAGAGTAACTGTAATTCGTTACAGTTACAATGAGAAAATATGTAATTCAGTTACAGTTACTTCTGAAAATATTAAGAATTACAAATTTAGTTACATTTTTTTAAAAATATAAAGAGAAACCTTTGCAAAATATGCAACTCACTGATAGACGAAGCGTCTTGATTTACTAATATTTCACTGTTTGGTGTTGATGCATGACAAACGGTTATCGATGTCTATGACCTAGCCTAGCCTAGCCTAGCCTAGCCTAGCCAACTGTAGGTTGACCAGACGTCCTTTTTTTTCCCGGTCATGTCCTACATTTCAGACTAGGGTTGTCAAAAGTATCGATACTTAAAAAAGTATAGATACTAGAATGTTGTATCCGGATACGACTGACTTGTCTACGATTTATTTATGTATTTATTTACGTCGTTTATGATCATTAACGAGACGTTAGCCTTGAACTGCTAGCTGCGGCCAATAGCTAATAATAATATGCTAAAATTAATCATGGGTTAATACTCATTAAAACCTTCAAGTAATCAAAAAGTAATCAAAAGTAATTAGTTACATTACTTTAATCGAAAAAGTTACACTACAATTACATTTTAAACAAGGTAACTTGTAACTGTAACAGATTACATTTTTAAAGTAACTTACCCAACACTGGTCCTCGCTTTACCCAATCTACAAAGCTTTTTAGCCTCCCCTCCTTTTTAACTGTAGAGCTTTATGACGTTTTCCAAACAGATGAAAAAAGAAAAAAGACTTTCAGAACAGACACAGCTATTGTTAATGAGGAAAGCAATAATAAAACTGAATTAATTATGAAACGTGATTAAAGGCATTTTCATACTTGAAAAAGTGACAGGCTGACATTGTTGTTTGACACAAAAGTATTTGATATTGATATAGAGTTATTAGATGTAGCCGTGTTTTGTTTTCATGCAGGGAACAATTCGAAATCTATCACATAAAGGTTTTTGTTCTGTAGCTTTTCATTCCCCCCAGAGAAAGAGAGAGACACACACACACACACACACACACACACACACACACACACACACACACACACACCTACTCTCTTTGAGATATTCCCCTTACAGGTGACGTCCAATTTGAAATTATTCCCCTTGAGTGGCTTTCAGTTCCCATGGGATCTTTGGTTCAAATCTTTTCTTTTTTTCTGTTTTTTCTCCCCCCCCCCCATTCTGCAGCATGCGGCAAGCCAGATCTTGGCATGGGGAACTTTTTCTGAACAGACAGCAGGCCTCTGCCGTCTAAAAAAAAACCTAAAGCACTGAACAGCATGTTTCAGCTCATGCCAGAGAGCGGTGGGCTTGCTCTTCAACATACAGTAACTTCTGACATTTAGGAAAGAATCTGACAAATAAAGTAGAAAAATAGCCACTTTTTCCTCCGAAATATTTTATTGAATTTTCTCTTAACATTGTAACGTGTACTTTTGCACACTTAACATGCACTCACCATTCAAACCTGCATTTATTAAGTTCCAAAAATATCCAAAACCCTTTAGATTAAGACAGAGACAAATAACAAGGCAATATATGAAGAGAAACAGTAGTCAAGACACCCATTAATAAGCTCCACCTTAAGTCCCTATGATCCTCATATATGGCTCCAATGGCTTCTTAAAATCCCGTTGTTTACCCTTTAAACTGTATGTTAGTTTTTCCAGTCGGAGTGAATTTGCAATTTCTTTCTACGCTTCCATGCTCCTCCAGCATAATGGCTTCAAGAAGTCCGTAGTATATCAATGTAGCCCTCAGAAAAATAGCAACTTACTGTTGGATTCTTACTTCCACCTCATCTGGAAGGCTCCCGTCCACCTTAATGCTCTCGTCACTAGTTTCTTTCCAGACGTCTACGGATTTCTTCTGCTCATGATTCTGTTTGGTTTTACTTAAAGTAATCCTCTCAAGTAGGCATCGGTGGTATTAATTGCCTCTGGTGTAATTGTCCCTTCACAGATGAGAGACCTAAGCATCTATTGCTCAATGTGAGATTGAACAGGGAGGTTTCTTAGTCAGCCCTGTGCGACCCGCTCAGCGGGAAGCATCTGGAAAGCAGCCAGAAGCCTCTTTCCGAGCCACTGTAAGATGTTTTAAGCTTTGCCAAGCCTTTTACTAAGCCAAATGATAACACACGCAGAGACACACTCTGAAAACTAATAAGCACAGAAGAAACATGATAAACAGCTGCAGAATCAGAGGCATGGTTCAGTTCTAGACACTAACCTCCACAGCCCCGTTTTTTCCAACCACCAGATTGTGTGTAAAGCAGTTGTTTGAGAGGAGATTTGCGCTGATAGGCAGTATAATCCCCTGTCTCCTCTTGAATTTAATTTTTCCCCTGTAGCCTTTCCTTCAACAGCGTTTTCTTTAATGTTGAGTAATAGACATATTAGTTCATCTATTGGGCTGCAGCCCCGAACTCCCTGCTACAGCCTTGACTCTTTTAAGATATTCCTATGTGTTGTGTGTCTCAGTAAAGCCAGAGACTGCTGTTCTCCGGCCTCATTTAAGCAATGTTCAACTGTTTTTTATATCCTCCTTTGCAACGTGCGCACGTGTGCCAAATAATTATTTTCAGTAAGCTGTAAAAATGAATTTAATGATCAATGTGACAACTGATTCTTCTGGGAATAAGCTTACTCCCACATTTTTACTATTAACAAAAATGTTGTTATGTTTACATTTCATTGTTTTTGTGGCTCCTGCAGTCCGAAGATAGAGCCTATGTGTTCAAATTAAAAGCTAGGACAAAAATAACATAAAATAATAACCCGAAGTCTTGATTAAAGGCTCTCCTTGAGGTTTCACTTCAGAGTTGTGCCTCCGTTTTCATCATTTCAAACCACCTAACGTGTTCCCTGCCTCTTTCCTGACAGGTTCATAACAGGAATTTGCTCTCGCTGGACTTTGATCGGATCACCAGGACAGAAAAGGTCTACGACGATCACAGGAAGTTCACTTTACGGATCCATTACGACCACGCGGGCCGGCCCACTCTGTGGGCCCCAAGCAGTCGTCTGAACGGAGTCAACGTCACCTACTCCTCCGGAGGGCACGTGGCCGGTATCCAAAGAGGAACCATGTCTGTACGAATGGAGTACGACCAGAATGGCAGAATCATCTCCAAGACATTTGCCGATGGCAAATCTTGGACCTACACCTATCTGGAGAAGGTATGAGCTGTCTGAGCTGTGATGAGGATTAAACGGTTCAGAGATAAAAAAGTAATAAACTTTTAGGAGACGCGTCGTGAAAATAAGCAATGAAGGTGTGTTTGTAGAAGAAACTTGACGTTATAGTTAAGACGGGAGTTAGAAATTAACTTGTAATTCTCCCGCGAGGGTGCACTGCGCACATTGAAAGGCAAAGATATGAATCCAAATATAATTAAAAGTGTCTGGAGCTCTGTAGACGCTATACTTTGTTGCCATAGTCTGACAGCAAAGTTCACCCAGAAATAGCTGTGATGAAAAGAACAGAGAGAAATGTCACTTTCTGCTCACTAATTGAAGGCATGAATGTAGGCAAAAGTGAAGAGCTGTTATTCTCCAACTTAGACATTTATTAGGAAAATGGCCGACAGTCTCCTTTTTAGTAGTATACTGTAAGATTTAGTCAACTTTGAAGTGATTATGTGTAGCCAGAATCTACAGCCGTACCACAGGGTTAGGGGCGTATGTTGGTTGAAGATAGATGAAAATATTCTGATTTGCTGAGTTGTGAAATCTTAAGATCCCACATGCTGTTCAGATCAAAAGATCCCGCAGTTTAAAAATACAAGAAGCAGCATGTTTGCGACAGCATCCCTGAAGGAAGTCTTAAATTTAGAGAGATCTCTCCACTTTTATGCTGGGAATTAGATTTGTTCTTACTCAGCCTTGCACAAAGAGTTTATTAAAGCTCTCTGCATTTGGCACTTTTTTAAAAAAGATATGCGACCACACTGCTTTGTACATTTCCAATTTCCAGCCTGTGCCTTCGTGACTGGTTATGAAGCCACTGGTTGTTTCTAATCAATGTACTTCTATTTTTAATTTTTGCCCAGACTGTCTGTTCCTGTTATAACAACATATCATATCTAGCCTTCACATTGAGGCTTTTAAATAAAATCAATCTAACACTGTATTGATATTGAACAATGAACACTCTGTTTCCTCCTCTCCTCGCAGTCTATGGTGCTGTTGCTCTACAGCCAGAGGCAGTACATCTTCGAATTTGATAAAAATGATCGCCTCTCCTCTGTGACCATGCCCAACGTGGCACGGCAGACTCTGGAGACCTCGCGCTCCATCGGTTACTACAGAAACACCTACCGACCCCCCGAGGGTAACGCCTCGGTGCTCCAGGACTACAGCGAGGACGGACAGTTGCTACAGACCACCTACCTGGGCACGGGTCGCAGGGTCATCTACAGGTACGGGAAGCTCTCCAAGATGCTGGAGATCCTCTACGACACCACACGCATCGGCTTCTCCTACGACGAAATGGCAGGCATGTTGAAAACCGTCAACCTGCAGAGCGAAGGCTTCACCTGCACCATCCGCTACCGGCAGATCGGACCCCTGATCGACCGGCAGATCTTCAGATTCAGCGAAGAGGGCATGGTCAACGCCAGGTTTGACTACGTGTATGACAACAGTTTCCGAGTCACCAGCATGCAGGCCGTCATTAACGAGACCCCCTTACCCATCGACCTGTATCGCTACGACGACGTGTCTGGCAAGACGGAGCAGTTTGGGAAATTTGGGGTGATCTACTACGACATCAATCAAATCATAACCACGGCGGTGATGACCCACACCAAACACTTTGACGCCTACGGCCGGGTGAAGGAGGTCCAGTACGAGATTTTCCGTTCCCTCATGTACTGGATGATGGTGCAGTACGACAACATGGGCCGCGTGGTTGCCAAGGAGCTGAAAGTCGGGCCGTACGCCAACACCACGCGCTACACCTACGAGTACGACGCCGACGGTCAGCTCCAGGTGGTCTCCATCAACGACAAGCCCCTCTGGAGGTACAGCTACGACCTAAATGGCAACTTGCACCTGCTCAGCCCTGGGAACAGCGCCCGCCTGACCCCTCTGCGCTACGACATCAGAGACCGCATCACCCGCCTGGGCGACGTCCAGTACCGGATGGACGAGGACGGCTTCCTTAGGCAGCGGGGAAACGACTACTTTGAGTATAACTCGGCTGGCCTGTTGACCAAGGTGTACAACAAAGTGAGCGGCTGGAGCATTAGATACCGCTACGACGGTCTGGGCCGGAGGGTTTCCAGCCGGAGCAGCATGGGCCACCACCTCCAGTTCTTCTACGCGGACCTGTCCAGCCCCACCCGGGTCACTCACATGTACAACCACTCCAGCTCGGAGATCACCTCCCTGTATTACGACCTGCAGGGACACCTGTTCGCCATGGAGTTGAGCAGCGGGGACGAGTTTTACGTGGCGTGCGATAACATAGGCACGCCTCTGGCGGTCTTCAGCGGGTCGGGACTCATGATCAAGCAGATCCTCCACACGGCGTTCGGGGAGGTTTACCTGGACACCAACCCTAGCTTCCAGATCATCATCGGCTACCAGGGCGGGCTGTACGAACCCCTCAGTAAGCTAGTCCACATGGGCAAACGGGACTACGATGTCCTGGCCGGCCGCTGGACGACGCCGGACCATGAGATCTGGAAACGCCTGAACAGCAACCACATCGTTCCCTTCAACTTGTACATGTTCAAGAGCAACAATCCTCTGAGCAATAACGAGGAGACAAAGTGCTACATGACAGGTGAGTGTGCTTCGACACGCACGGGACTTACTTTGGTGGCTTTGGAAAAAAGAACGGTGACTGAACGTGATGCAAATTGGCTTTAGTGCCGTTATACAGGGTAATCACACGCTGTAACAATGGGTGTCTTAGAGTATTACGACTTCAGATTGCTCATTTAAATCCGCGGCTCCCATTACCCGCATTAAATGTAGTTGTATCTTAAGAGGTGTCACAGGCTTATAGGAAATGCATGTTAGGGCCACTTTGCATTCTAAAAACAGGATAAAAAAATGAAGACTCTATCTTATAATAAGGACTTCTAATCTGTCCATGCAATACATTTGAGATGTAGACTTGGTATTTACAGGATGATATCCACAGAATGTTTAAAAAGAGAACATGTGGGTACCCTGCACTTTTTCAGACTGGTTTGAAGCAGGGCAAATAAACCTTAGGAGTGAGTGTGTGTGAGTGTGTGTGGTTGTGTGTCTCTGTGTGATTGAGTGGCAGCCTGTTCAGGTTGTGCCCAGTGACAGCTGGGATTGGCTCCAGCCCCCCATCACCTCGTTGGAATGAGTGGCTATAGCAAATGGTTGGACGGACGCTTTGAAGCAGAAATGTAATTTCTTAGTCATGAATAGTGGGAATTTTACTTTAAACAAGAAAACGCTAAAGATCCCAGAGGAATAAAGCAGTTTCTGTAATATTCAGCTCTTATTTTGGCTCTAGATGGCATTTCCCTCGACAGATCTGCTGATAAAACAATCCCTGATTTATATAAGAACACAACTGTAAGAACACAACCCAAACCTTCATTCTTCATTGTGTTTTGCTCGTGGCAAAGAACTTTTTATTCTAGGGAACGATCTCCACTTTGAAGAGCAGACCCCTCTTAAATTAAATTGGAAAGCAGCAGGCCTAGTAGGTTTTTAAGAGCTCCCTCACTGAAAGTCTGCTGTGTGTGTGTGTGTGTGTGTGTGTGCCGGCACATTTATTCTGGTGCATGTATCCAGTGGCTATCAGTTTGAAAGTGCTCAAAGGGAACTGTGTTGCCTGTCAAAGCCCTGTTGGTTGTTGAACTCTAAGATCTTTTCTAGAAATGCTCCGGGTTTTCTGTGACTGAGACACAATAGATCCATAGAAAGCTGTAGTCACCTCTGTTTTGTCTTGTTCATAAATATATACACAATCTAATTCTCTTCCATCATTTTGCATCATGTTAACTTGATTTTTTTTTAGGTTTTAGCCTTTAACTGAAGTGCAAGTCAAATTAGTCCCAAAAAATCTGTCGACATTTAGTGGAAAAATAAATGACTGGTTTATACTAATTGTAGGTTTTTGCAAGTTGAGTTTGGCTAATTATGTTTAAAAGAAAGTAGACCATATTTAGAGATGAAAAGTATGCAATTTTTTTTGCTCAGGTGGCATCCAACCTTCAGCTTCACTGTGTTTAACAAAAGCATTTAGCCGGCTGTCTATCAGTGGAGCGTTGAGCTTCACAATCCAGCATTAGGGCCTGACTGCCGTTTGAATGCTAAACAGACTGTAGACACACTGTAGACGGTCAGCCTCCGCTCTGATTGATGGCACTGACATTTACATGCCTTTCACTAAATTAGCAGGGTCCTTTCGTTGTCCTCAAACAAATTTTTATATAAAAAAGGCTTTGTCAGTTGGCACAATGTGGTGGTGCCAGCCTGTGACAAACCACCCCCCCCCCCCCCCCCACCACTAATCCCAGGTGTCAAAGCAATGATTCTGCTGTCCGTACCAGAGGCCAGACTTAAATGGCTCGGTTTGAGCTTCCTCTGTGATACAGTATTTTACAGCGGATGGCAACGGCACCTGCAGCATTTTTTGCCCATTTTTGATGGGACGCTTTATTACGATTGCATGCATATGAATCCCAGGCGTCATTTTCCTCTTTCAGCATCACTTTGGAGAAATACAACTGTGAAGGAACCCGCTAAGTGTCCAAAATACCTAATGTTGAAGTCCGCGGTGACATGAAATTACAATATATAATTATCAGCCCAGCAGATGCTCTCAGATGTCGTTTGCGGGACCCAGCTGTGGGCCATTAGTGTGACACCTGCAGGAGTGGACATGAATCATTACCACCACCTCCAGTCTTTAGGATGGCTTGTTCACTTTTGCAAACAAATCATGCGCTCCTCTGGATTTAGAACAACTCCGAGAGAGCACCGCCGAATTTCAACCGTGAAAATACCCAGTCAGTGTCTTCCTGTCTGAAGCTGAGAGCAATGGCTGTGTCTGTGTCTAGTATTTCTATTTATCAAGGTTTTTCCCCCTTTCCTTGCAGATGTGAACAGCTGGTTGGTGACCTTTGGCTTCCAGCTGTACAACGTCATCCCCGGTTATCGCAAACCAAACACGGAGGCCATGGAACCGTCCTACGAGTTGGTCCGCACCCAGATCAAGACCCAGGAGTGGGACAGCACCAAGGTAGAGGCCTCTTCTTTTTTTTTTCCAGTTCTCATCCTGCCACACGTCATCCTCCACTTCAGTTCCTTTCATTTCCACTATCATTGGCTCTGTGCAGCCAGATTCCCACAGGAGGTGGCAGCTATCAGGCCAAACATGGCCCAGTGAGCCAGGTCCCTGCCTCTTGTCCTCATCTTGAGGAATTGGGGTCAGGCTAAACAGCTCTTGTAATTGTCCTGCCATTAGGGAAATTCACTCTCCATTCCCCTCACCACTGGCCATTGATTTCATCTCAGTTTTACACTGTTGGCTAAGGGCTGAGAAGTAGTAGACATGCTGTGATTCTTGCTTTTTATCAGCCCTTTTAAGTTGGCCCCAGCTCACCTGAATTATTGAAGAGGCCACTGTTGTTTTCACGGCTCTGCTTACAGCCAGACAAGTGAAAGGCACCCATCAAAGGGACAGATTGTGTTCCCTGACACTTCAGCGGCTGCCTCAACACTTACTTGAATTCTAATATTTTTCTTCATGTGTGAGCCGAAAAGCTGCCGGGGCCCTATTGTACGATGTTATGGACGACCTTTGACCTAAGCAGCCAAACACAATGACCACAGCCACAATGACTGTAAAAGGTGCTGATTTAGGGTGTAACACACACAATAGTTTTACTAGTTTTATATATAAACTCCCGGTAAATACTGAACAGTTCTTTTTTTCTCATACTCTTTCATACTGAATCTTACAAAGAGAAGATATACTAAAAACTAAAGTGAAATATTCAAATAAAATGCCACAAAGCAGGTATTTTTCTGCTCTATAAGTGCATTTTACAACAAAATGTAGATATATTTTCCATCCCAGTGGCTTGTTAATCATTGCAGAACAGTGCGGCTCAAAACATAAAAAACCTAAACATACAGTAAATATGCATACACTTAAATGTGTTCAGAAGTGTTGTTTGCATTGAGTGAAACCTTGAGTTGTCCTCATCTATTATTGGCCTCTTCCACTGACTCATCCATGCTGCTTGATCTTGACAACTTGCAGAAATCTATATACTGGCCAAACAACAAAACTCAAATAAATACAGATGAATATCTGCTCAAAGTCAAAGAGAGAAAAGCATGAATAAAATAAATCAAAGGAAAAAATAAGGATTTTCAGATTTTAACAGAAAGGTCCAAACCTGGTTAATTTTTCAACATCTTTTTCTTTAATTCTTTAATTAAGCTTTGTTAATTTTGAGTGTCATTCACTTACAGGCACAAGTATTTGCACAAAAATAACACAAAGCACATCCAAATATTTCTAAAATAAATAAGCTATTGAGAAAACAAAAATCTCTGAATGAAGATTTATTTGTAATTCGGCATTTTCTTTCTGAATTCAGTAGTCCAAACGCAGCCTCTGAGACCATTCAATGTTATTTAGTTTACAAGTTATGGCATGACATCTTAATCCTCCATTTCTGCCCCCTGAAATGGTGCTCTGACCATGTTGATCCTCACATCAGATGGCCTGACCGGCTAAGTATAGGGCTCCCGAATACATGAATACAGCTTTAAACTAGACGTCTGCGCTTTGGTGTTTCATTTTATTCTGTTCAGAGGAAAAGTGTGTTGCGGCCTTTCCGTCTCTGTCTGCTTAAGCCCCTTTTTTGCTATGCAGCTCAGTCCACACACAGATTGGAAAATGCCGTGAGGGGGCAGAGAGATCAGCTCTGTGCCCTACCAGGCCTGATCTCTCATTCAGAGCTCTGCTACAGGCTGATTACCCCCCCCCCCCCCCCCCACGTGAGTGATGCCTCTCTGGGAGTGTCCCGGGAGGCTGTTTCAGTAAAGTGGAGGACATCGCCCTCTGTCCACCCCCACCCCCCCGAAAAGCTGACCAGGTCACACACTGGGACGATAAACAAACAAGGAGTGGCATGGTGTGAAATATCCCCCCCGAGCCACCATTTCCATCTTTCATAGGTTCAGAATTAGAAATCTGTCAGGAAGACTTTGAATATACCGCTTGATAAAACTCCCGAGGATCATTTTCTACCTCCTAAATTAGAGGATTGTTTGAAGACAGATAATCTAAAATCTAAAAGGCTTTTAGATGCTGCTTAAATCTCGACTCATTGTGTTCTGGCCAGTTTCCATTTCACATCACTTTATCGTCATCTCTGGATCTGAACATCTCTTTTTCTTCTTGAGGAATATCTCTTGTCAAGTAGTATTAAGACAAAATACAAGCTTTTTGCTAAAGGCAGTATGTTATATTTTTTTCATCCTGGAAGGAATTGGTTACTCTCCATACAATAGTTCGCCACAAATATTCTGTTTTATTCTGGCCCCGGGTTGTCGGAAGACGGCAATTTCACCCATTTTCAAAATATCATGCCTGTCGCAGAGGATCAGGCAGATCATGAGAGGTGCTTGAATATGTGTGGTGCGTTCACATCTTCAGATCATCACGGCTTCCTCTTTAGCGCCCCAAACGGAAACAAAGTCCCTATTTTATAAATGATGTAATATTTCCTATTTCCCGTGACGGTTTATCAGTTTATAGCTTCCCCTAAAAGCATTCTGAGAGGTTGTGAAGCATATTCACTGTTTGTCTTTCCCCAATCATGCTTTTCTTTTCTTTTTATCATCATTCATTCTTACATCTTAATACAAAAGAACCTCTGTGGTCACAGAGCCGAATTAAAAATGCTTTAAGTGTTAATGAAGCAGCGTGAGTCTCAGCTTTTGAAATGAAACCTTCAGAGAGCAGACAGTGATGTTAGTCCTGGCTAATGATAAAGGTTAGAAGCCTAAAAGAGGGAATATTCAATGAACACTATCAACAAAGTCTTTAAAGTGGCAGTTGCTTTGTTTCAATCGGTTTCTTTGCTAGCAGATAAAGATAAAAACTGCATTCTCCTATTCTGCACCCTGGGGTTGGAATAACCTCCAGAAAGAGCTCAAATTAAAAACTCTAGTGTCCATTAATGAATTTAAAGCAACCATGAAGAGTGTAGTGATGGAGATATGTGCTTGTTTTTCTTGAGATGCTCAATGTGTTTTAACATACTGCTCTGATTTTATTATGTAAAATGTAATATGTATGAATTTCTTGTGGTTTGGCTGCTACCTTAGCCAGGTCTCTTTTGAAAAAGAGATTCCGAATCTCAATGGGACTTCCTGGTTAACTCATTGAGTGCCAGCCATTTTCAGAACAGAGTACCATACTGCCAGAGTTTTTTTTAGCATTTTGACTGATTTTTCAAGAGCCACAGAATAGTTTGTGCTATGACTATGTAAACACCGAACACACCAAAAGAAAGAGTAGACTCTCTTCTTTCATCAGGAAAAAAAATTTGTTTCTACCTTATTCCGTTCTTCCTCGACGTGCGTCTCACCGGCGCCATTTTTCACATAGCGAACCATTGCGTTTTTTCTTATTTGCCTACAGTCTATGCTCATCTCCCATCAAAAGTGGCACTGCCCCCTAGAGGGTAAATTTGTTACTACATACTCTGTCTAGAAGCCGATATTTACGGACAAGCTTTAGCAGATCGTCCCCCAGACACTCTCGTTGAAAAACATAAAAGATGTCTATAGACGTCTTTGGCAGCCAATGAGTTAAATAAAGGTTAAATAAATAAAAAAATGTTTAAAAAAAAGAGAAAAGGGCTCTGGTGTGTGTGTCTCTGCTGTGACTAAAGCGATGTGTGTGTGTGTGTGTTTGCAGTCTCTGCTGGGCGTCCAGTGTGAGGTCCAGAGGCAGCTGAAGGCCTTCGTGAAGCTGGAGCGCTTCGGTCAGATCTACCGTTCCCGCGGCGCCGGCTGTCCTCAGACGGAGGACCGGAAGGTCTTCGCCTCGGGGGGCTCCATCTTCGGCAAAGGCGTGAAGTTCTCGGTGCGGGACGGGCGGGTCAGCGCGGACATCATCAGCCTGGCCAACGAGGACGGGCGCCGCATGGCCGCCGTGCTGGACGGCGCCCTCTACCTGGAGGACCTGCGCTTCACCGTGCGGGGCGTGGACACGCACCACTTCGTGAAGCTGGGCCCGGTGGAGGGCGACCTGGCGCTCATCGGCATGGCGGTGGGCCGCCGCACGCTGGAGAGCGGCGTGAACGTGACGGTGGCGCAGGTCAACGCCGTGCTGGCCGGCCGGACGCGCCGCATCACCGACATCCGCCTGCAGTTCGGCGCGCTGAGCCTCAACACGCGCTACGGCGGGAGCCTGGACGAGGAGAAGGCGCGCGTGCTGGAGTCGGCGCGGCAACGGGCCGTGGCCCAGGCCTGGGCCCGCGAGCGCCAGAGGCTCCGGGACGGGGAGGAGGGCTCGCGGAGCTGGACCGAGGGCGAGAAGCAGCAGCTTCTGGGCTCCGGGAAGGTGCAGGGCTACGACGGCTACTACGTGGTCTCCGTGGACCAGTACCCCCAACTGGCCGACAGCGTCAACAACATCCACTTCATGAGGCAGAGCGAGATGGGCCGCAGGTGACATGAACACGACGAGGCCCTCTGACGCTAGCAAACGGGACTTCTTGCCAAAGACGGTTGTGTACAAGACCACGTGTTTTTTTTCTTTTCTTTGGACTGTGCTCAAACTTGGTTTTTAATATACTCTTTAAAAAAAAAAAAACAGATAACAAAACGGTTGCAATCGGTGATAACGGCGGTTCTTTGTCAGTCTTTGCCCTCCAAGTGCGGCTGCTAGAGGATGGAAAAATGTGTGACGTCTGTGATTTATTTTTATGACTCCGTTTTCCTCGTCCCCGTTTGCGATTCTGTTCAAAGGAATCAAAAAGGAGAGCTGGTTAATGCGTTACGTCCACTGGCTCACTCTGCAGATTGTTATTCGCTAGCTCGCTCCATTCTGCCTTTTTTCGCGCCTCAGCCAAGGAGATTCCTTCTCTGTTAATCACTTCTTTTATATACTTGAAACCATCACAGCCCCAGTCAGCCGTAAATAATAAGAGAGGTTTCTGTTAGCAGTAAAGCCCTTCATCAAAACCCCGGACGAACTCGTCAAAGCACCTTCGTTTGTGTGATGTCTCGTCATTTTCTAAGAGGAGGCTTTACGCTCCTGTGTGGTTATAGCTCCAAAAGCCTCTGTTGGCCTTTTTGATCAACCACAGAATTAGCAAAATTGCTTAATTGTATGGTAAAGCCAACAAAGTGACATGAGGTCACTGTTCGATTTGGATTCATTCTATTTCTCACCCGATTTCTTTTTTTAAATCAAGAAAATATGGAATTTTGGGTCGTCTTTTTTTTTATTTTTGTTTTTTTTTTAATTGGTCAAAGCAATTTGATCATAAAATGACATAGGAGCCAACCCTGTAAGAAAATACTGTGGAATTAATGTCTGTATTAAGCAACAAAAAGGTATTTTACAGGAATGGTTTTGAATTCTATTTTAGTTCTGTTTTATAAATAGCTATATGAATTAACAGTATAACAAATGTGAATTTAAAAAAAAATGTGAATTAGTGTCCCTTCTATTGTTAATTGTTGTACTTGAACAATACTTAAGGGTGTTTGAACACTTGGAATAAACTATGGAGGTGGTTTAGTTTAACATTACCGTGTACTTCATCGGACCCTCTTCATTTTACAGATCTGAATTTCTACAGGAAGGCACTGTTTGTTAACCAGTCGGCTTAAATAAGTATTCCACAGAGTTCAATAAAAACAGATATTTGGATGAAAAAAATATTTTTTAGAAAATAAGACGAAGAAGGTCGAGGGAACCAGCAAATTCACCCCCCCCCCCCCCCCCCCCCCCGTGCTTCATTAGTGGACTGGCTGCAGAGATCCAGAGGCTTTGCGTTGTGCTGTGGGTGACAGGAAATATACAAATTGCCTTTGGCCCTCGGGGTTGCCCCCCGGTCAGCCTGAGAAGTGCTTTCACCCCCCCCACAGGGCTCCGATCGCTGCCCTACTGGTGGAAATGCATCCGCCCTGCTCCCCGTTTACAGACTAAAGCTCCTCCAAACACACCCGGCCTGGAATAAACCCACAAAGACACTTTCTAATTCCCATACATCTGTGTTTCCCCCCTCTCCCGGCCTGTCAGCGGATCCCACAAAGGACAGTTTACTGCTCATTTGAAAAAAAACTCAAAAGGAGTCGGGACTACTTTGTGAACTATGGCGTATTGATCTGACTCCCGGTACTTTTTGAACTATGCCGAGGCCACTGAACACTCGCTGACCGTCATTTTCCCATCGAACCCGAGGACTCGTCTCTGTGTGTGGGGGGGTGCTGAGAGCATGGCTGAGTGCGTCACAATGCTAAACGTACATGGTTATTTTTTCTCCGATGTGGGTCGATTCAGTGACATTCTGTTTCCCAAAAAAAAATCTATATGTATGTTCAACATAATATGAATGAAGGATATTTGCATTGTGGAATATTGCACTGAGAACTGTCGCGTCATAAGACTGTATCTTTTTCTAAAGTTTTGGACTCATTTTGAGTTTGGGTTTGTTCTCAACACTGTGTTTTTAGCGCTTCTCTTTGACTGTGTAAATATGGAGACATCAAAGTAAGCTGTAAATAAAATGCAAATGTAGATACCTCTTAGAGCTACATCGGTGACCCTGTGTAGTCTTAAGGTAGGAAAAAAATAAAGGGAATATTTTGTGTTTTTTTTTTTTTTGTTTTATATATCGCACATCTTTTCACTTCATTCCAAAATTACACAAGGTTCGACTTATACAAACAACTGAATAACATTCTCTATATTAAAACAAATTAAACTTTCCACATGAGCTTGCAACCGAACAGCACTTCATAAAGTGAATTTAATGAAAATATCTCTACCGTTAGTGTATTTATAGTGGGGGAAATAAGTATTTGACCCCTTGTTGATTTTGCAGGTTTGCCCACTTACAAAGAATGCAACGATCTATAACTTTAATCATATGTACATTCTAACAGTGAAAGACAGAATCCCAAAGAAAATTCCAGAAAATCACATCATATGAATTTATAAAAATTGATGACCATCTGATGAGGAAAAATAAGCATTCTTTGTAAGTGGGCAAACCTGCAAAATCAGCAAAGGGTCAAATACTTATTTCCCCCACTGTATTTGTGATCAAGATAAGCAAACATGAAGGGATTTTTTTTTTTTTTCTGCAAAATCTAACATTAATTAACCTGTCAAATGTGAGGACCAATCCATTGACGTTACAAAAGCCACCAAGGGACTGTTTTTAAACTAGATAACTTTATTGAAACGAGCATACTTGAATACTGTTAGCAGGCAGGGTGGTTTGGGAGTTTAGACCAGTGTGAGGTGGAGAAATGGGAGGCCACCAGAAACACATTTTCCCTCATTTTCCCTCCTCCACTCTGCATTAATCTGGGCCGGCCAAGCCTCCGATGGCTCTGTGTGAAGGACAAACCATCACACACACGTTTGCCTCAACTGGTTTGACTCCACAAAAATGTATTCAATCCGGGGTTCTCATTTTCTTTGAGATAGCCTGAGCCTCCAGCCACGCGTGCCTCTGGAAAAGAGGATTTCTTTAAAGGTAACAGAAAGTGCTGCTAGCAGAGAGTGTGTGCAGGATGCATTTATCTGCTGCAGAGAGGGAAAATGTCCTAAAGCCTGGAGGGATCTAGTCTTTAGGAAGAATCATAATAATAATCTAACTTCATCTTAGAGCAGAAAGGAGGCTCCCAGGGCTCACTCCAATGATGAGTTTCATACTGAATGAATCATTTACATGTATTTAATCACTCACAAACTCAAACGTTTGTAATTACGGTAATTAAATGGCATGGTGTTCACGGTTAACTAATCCATCAGAATGCATGTGATGTTTTCCTCTTTGCTCAGAGAACAAAATGATGCAACAATCCTCATGTAGCACCATGCCCCATCAGAGATTTCTGCTGTAGGGAAGTGAGAATATTCCTAATTACATGGTTAATCAACTACAGAAACAAACTGAGATGGCCAGTAACAACACTGATCCTTTGATTCAAAACAGTTTGAATAATAACTATGATCAACGGATGTCTTATAATGTGGACACAAACAGTACATTCTACTTAAAATCCTCCTCCTTTTTTTTTTCTTACTCTTTTGGATGATGGAGTCTGTTATTATTTCTGAGATTGACAACGACACCCTATCTGTTTCAAGCAGCCAAACTAGGAATTGGATTCACTTAACAACAACCATTACAGTCAGACTCGACTAACCCCTTCCTGAAATTTAGGAGAGAGGAAGGCGGAAAATTCTGCTCAAAGCTTGATTTCAGGATAGGCAGTGAATGGCGAACCTTTCTGTGAAGCCCATGCATGAGCTGTTTCTCATTACCTGTGTAGAAGCCGATGTGAGACCAAATCTTCACATTGCTTTCACACTTCATCTGCTTCCTCTCTCCGATAATTCTGAGTCCAATAGTTGGATAAACACTGCCAGGGGTAGTAGATGTTGAAATCAACAAAAAGGCTGATTCCTGCTGAGGCCTAACCATCCGTATCCTCACTGAATTATGCACAGAGTCGGGAAAATAGCAACCGAAATGAAACACCCGCTGTCTCTTGTTTTTCTCCGTCAATCTCCCATATATCTGTATATATCACACAGCTAGCCGCATGCGTTTTTACAGATATTTACCATGTCATTTACAAAGGCACACGTCTCGGCATTGGCTGATTAAGCTCGTTCACTTTTTTCTCGACAGCCGTAAAATAATTGGTTGGAATTGGGGTCCACGTCTGTGTGGCCTCAGAATATTTCCGTGTCCCAGTGAGGCTGGAAAACTGCCTCAGATTCAGGCTTCACATTTCCCACTCCACTAGTTATGGAAGTGTCAGACTGATCATAAAAGCTACTGAGACAAGGAATGAAAAACCTACTAAATGAAGGTGGCAGAGCATTCCTCAAGATTTAGATCTCTCTCTCTGACCGGCCAACAGGATGACAGAGCAGCAAAGTGAAGCCAAAGCTCTGGAAATTTAACCGATGGGAAGGTTTTGGAAGTGTCACATTTTCATGGGTCACACAAAGGCTAGTGTTGCCTTTCATACAAAGCGACCTGCAAAAAGATAAAGGAAAATAACAGAAATGTGCAGTACTGGCTCCTTAGGCAGTTTAGTGCTGCATGTTGGTAATATGAGAGGCATTATCTCCCCCCAAAAAGAAGCCTGACAGAGGTGAGGTCCTCTTAAAAACTGTCAGGAGATGGATTTTAAGGTGGACTCAGATGTGGAGGGTCGGTTTGAAAGGGTTTTAATGAACAAAAAACGCACTCAAAAGGAGTGGATGAACAGACAAAGTTCAAACTAGGCAGACAAAACTATGAACAAAGTATCAAAGCAAGATTAACAAGACTATGAAATGAACAAAGTATCAAATTGAACAAAACTGTGAAAAAAGTGCTAAATCAAATGGCAAAAACAAGACTGTGACAAAGTACAAAATCAAAATCACTCTTACGTGGCGTGAACAAGGCGAGGAACGAAAGGACGAAACAC